CCACGCATCCGCGAAAGGGGGGATGCTGGGCGCATGCGTTGAAGATGTGCAGGCATGCACAAGGGTGGGGCACATGCATGGGGGAAGCGTGCATATTGCATTTTGGGGATGCGCGCACACACGCTTTGGGCAGTCGGTGCCAAAAAGATTAGCCATCACTGCCCTATGTGGATGTAAAGACCAAAATTTTCAGGGCTTTAAAAAGTCAGAACTGAGTAACATACTATATGTCTATAATAGCATATAACTTTCTTATGGAATGATTATCCTCTTCTTACACTGAGAAAAGACCAAGCATACTGCCTATATTGCCTCCTTAATTCCAGATCAAGACAAACTACCTATTTAAAATTTTAGATGGGAGAATAGCTTGTTTGCCTCCCAAAACTGTAGTCATTTTCAAACAGGATGTTAATATCTACCTTTACGGTAGGTGTCTGGAAGACTTTTTATAATAATACCACTAGGGACTTTATGAATTTCAAGGCTATATATTTATGATAGCATACATGGACAATCTAGTTGATCAGATTACATTAAAAATGATTGAAACTGCAAAATAAGACTGTCCTTAAATTATTCTTTCAGGGGACTCTGTTCAATCCTATCTAGTTCATCTATCCGGGAAGCTGCTTTAATAAAGGCTAGCTCAGGGGTGTCAAACTCACGGTCCGCAGCCCAGATGCGTCATGTGCTGGCCACGCCCACCCCCATTTTAGCGAAGGGGTGGGGAAAGTCACGATACATCACGATACATCACGTGACGACAATGTGATAATGCAAGTTTGATACCCCTCCTCTAGCTGCCATGAAAATTCTCTCTCCTCTGCTGCCCACACAGTTTCAGTCCTAGTATTAAAAAAAAAAAAAAAAAGCTCATCTCTCCAGTTCTAAATCAGTCCCAACAATGAAATTTTGCCCTCAATACCTGTGGGCTGCCCGGTGCAAACCCTCTCATATTGCTTAAATCCTGTGTTGTTCCCAGGAACAATATTTTAAGCAATGGATAACACATGCCTTAGACAACTTAAAGATCAGAAGTAGAACAAGGAACAAAAAAATGTCGGAGCAGCTTATCTGATATTTTAAAGACAACATTTCCAGAAATAGACAACACTTATGGGTTAAGCCACTTCTAGCCACCTCCCTCCAATCTGTTGCTGAGTCATAGGATAGCAAAGGAAATGGCTTGGGATTCTGCTGTGGGTGATGGCAGCCCCACCTCTTTTCTGCTCGTGAAGGTGGGTGAAGAGTCACCCAGAATGAGAGATGATACATATAGTACAGCCTCTGAAATTCCTTGCTTGTTTGCGAAGACAGAAGACCGGATGCCTGAGACCCCATTCAAAACTTTTCCTTGGTTTGTTTCTCCTGTAGCTCTAGCATCGGAAGCTGTCTTTCCACAACAAACCTGGCTGTCTTCATTTTGAATGGCAACTCACAGGAACCAGCCCCTCCCCACCGTTTCCAGACCATCAGCCAATAAGCCAAGACTCAGCTTTAACCAATCAGTTCTCAAATAATCTATTCCAAACTTAAAATAGATCAGCAAGATTGCTGGCTTCCAATGCAAAACAAATGGGAGACAGCAGCTAATATATGTCTGAAATATTTTCCACCACAACAAAAGTCACATGATGGACAGGAAGGCTTGTCTTGTACATGTATCTCAGTGGTTAAAGAAGATGGATTCCATTCCCAACTGTGTTGTCTAGGAATTATGGGAGTTTACATCTAACCCATCTACTGGTCATGTTTTGGGGGGAAATGGCATAAGTAAGACACAGAGATTCTTAATTTAAGCATTAGTAGAGGCTCCTTTACCCAGAAATAAGAAAGTGCCAGCTTGAAGTAGACAACGTACATTAACTGGAGGAAAAGAAGCGGGTGAATCAGATAAACACAGTAAAAATGTCTATGTATTACACATAAAGGGACACATTCAAAAAGAAGTATGAACTATTAGTGATATATATCTGAAATTAAATAAATATTAGATATCAGATTGGATGGTAGGATCAATAGTGAAATACAAAAAAAATCTGAATTCTGATACAACTCTCAATCCCTTTGACATTAAAACTGCACACCATTCATCAATTTTTCTCCAGATATGCCAAAATTGCAAAACACATATTTACCACAAGCTCCACTACTTCATTTGGAGGGACCATGTTAGGGAAGGCCTGCTACAAAGAACTTTTAAACAGGAACCCAAATGAGTTATTTGATTCCTGAATGACTCCCAGTGGGAGCAACCTCTTCCAAGAATGACTGGATCTGTGCCCAGTAGATCCTTGGGGCATGCTTCACATTTGGCAGACCAGATCTAACCATGCTCGCCCCAGGAAATCACCCCTATTCCTGATCAACTCCCACTAAGAAGTTTGGGGGGAAAAAACCTACTGGAGGTTTGTAGAGAGAGTCTGGTCTTGATGGCCCAGAAGGTGACCTAGTCCAGTGGGTGAAAAATGTCTTCCAGCACAGCAACAGCAGCAACAGCTCACTTGCTTGGTGTGCTTACCTCCATTTTGTTCTCCGGTTCTGGAACCAGGTCTTGACTTGGGCATCAGTCATTTTCAGAGCCTTGGCTAAAGCTGCCCTCTCGGCTGAGGCCAGGTACTTCTGTCGGTGGAAGCGCTTTTCCAGTTCACAGATCTGCAGACGGGTGAAGGAGGTGCGCGGTTTCTTCTTCTTGGGGGGCGTCCGGTTCTGGTAGGGGTGACCTATACGGCGTGTTACAGTGAACGGTGAGAGGGCCACTGGAGGGGGAGACAGGGCGGGTGGGGGGGTGGGGGGCAAAGAAGCAAGCGGTGACATGATCAGGAAGGACTCCACGGAGCAGCGGCAGAGGAGAGACAGAAAGACACACACCAAGAGTCAAACAGAGAAGTAGGAAGGCACAGAGCGAAGGCTTAGTCCCAGGGCTCACAATCTCCTCCTTGCTTTTTCAAGGACAAATCTCTGTTTTGGAACCCACCAATATTTCCTTATTCATGGGCTGCTGTGAAGGAGCTTCCCCCTGTCCCCAGGTGGATCCCAATATGGAGGCACCAGACTCTGCAAGAAGCGAGCTCTGTGGCAGATGAGCACATGAAGGGTATATATGAAGGGGGCAGGAATGGGGAGGGGAGAAATCCTTGTTTGGAGTGCTAAATCTACCTTGCAAGCTAGGAACAGGGAGATCGAAACTGTACATTTATGGCCCAATCACCTGAATGTTATCTGGAAGAAAGTACGTAAAAATAAAGCTTCAGACTGCTGCAGCCTGAATAAGAGCATTAATGAACTACTATTATTTTAGACTTTGGAACAAAATGAGAGCCTCCCTATAAAAATCCAAATCTGGCATTCCAGCTCATCCCTCTTTTCATTGTTTTGACAACCCTTTTAAAATTATGATTATTCATATCCTAATGTAATCATCAAAGTACACTTTCATTTTTCATTGTTTTTATTTTGTTGAAGATTGCTTTTATTGAAGTCCATAACCCTGGGTAAAGTTCGTACTCTCAGAAAAATCAACAGGAGTTCACTCAAAATAAACCTAACTAAACAGGCAGTTCTTTCTGAAGTTTGAGCCATTCTCTCTGGCTAAAAGTATGTGTATTATATAGCCTGTAAATTACAATACTGTTCACATGAATGAAAACTGCTTGTTAAAGATGAGTCCAGTTTTTCAGAATTAAGTGCCACTGAACTCAATGGAACTGACACTGCATGTCACATAACTCAGCTTGCAATTAAGTGGGCACAGTTATTTGTAAATGTGTATGGAACTGGGATGCATCTCTCCCTCTCATTATCAAAAACTGATTTTGATATTTGATCTATTCATAAATGTCCATGCAATTACCAAATGAAATAATACTTGTGGGAATTAAATCATAAAGTTAAGAAAAATGTTAATGAAGGAAGCAGGAAATGAAAGCAGCAGCATAGGAATGCTTTCCATGAATTATTCTAGGCATAATTGCTCTGAGTTAGTTTGACATTCTTTGGAATTCCTTCATTTATGGCTTTAATTTTAAATCGAGAAAATGTGAATTGTTATAAATTTTGTAGCATTGTTGGACTGAAACTATCAGGATAATTGTACTGTCCCCTACAATTGTAGCGTTTTGTTTTAGTTAAATGGCATAATGATTCTGCACATGAGGGAATTATTTTACAGTATTGGGTCCTTTGGGCCTTAAATAAATCCCCCCCCCCCTGCAATTAAAGGCTCCTTTTAAATTTCTCTAATATATTTCACTTGTAACAGCTGTAATTAACAAACCTATTTTCCAAAATCTTCCTAGCTTAAATAGATTTTTACAGTTGCATTACAGACACCAAAATCACCAACAGCAACAAAAAGAAATCTGATTTAAGACTCTCTTGCAGGGATTTTATTTTGGGTCGATGTATTTTATCAAATTGGGGGGGCATTATCTACCTGTACCCTCTTTCCCTCTCTCTAGAGCATTTGCTGGAAAGATAGTAATCAGATGCCAGAGAGGCATAGAAAAGTTTAGCTGGGAACTAGGAGAAGAAACAGGACGAAGGTGATAGTAATGTTTAAAATACAATATCACTGCATTCAAATCTCCAACTCTCCTAGATACCTGATTTTATTTGTATGTCGTTTAGTGGCATAGGTCCATTTAAGAACACAGCAAATAAACCCCAAACTGAAACTGGCGGCTGTTGGTTAATTTACCAGCAACACCCCGTTATCTCACCTGAGATCTCTCTAAGCTCCCCTGATCTGGGTACTGTGTTCTCCGTAACGGTCAGCAGGTTCCTGAACCGAACAAGGAACGGAGGGAAGTTCTACGAACTACCTTGTTCGGAGGTGCCGAGCCTGATTTTGCCACAAATAGCCTTAGCAGCCCCGCGCAGCCTTCGCTCTCCACGCCAATATGGCTCGCATTTCCCCAGCAGCGGCCCTCGGCTGAAGGGCGGCGGGAAAATAAAAGGCCCAGGTTAGGCCTCTGTAGCAAGAAATTTTTTTTTTCCGAAGAACAAACTGAGACTCGAGATTAAAAAAAAAATCCTCTTATATATATAAAAAATATCTAGAGCCCGATGAGGACGGGCCAGAGGGTGATTTGTTTCGAACTAAAACGACGCAACCTCTTTTGCAGCAGCCCCGTCGGCAGGGAGGAGGCCGAGGCGAGGCCTTTTTCGGGCGGCAAAAGGCCCACAGCCGCGTCTGCGCCATCGCGAGTGGAAATTTCGAAAGAACCATCTCTAGTCCGGCCTTGCTAACTGGCGGTGGTGGTGATGTAATCCAGCAGGTCTACAGACCCCCAGTCTGGCGGCGGCCAGGCCAAATAGATAAAGGGGCCGCTTGGGTCGTCGCGTCTTCGGATTAAACTGCTTCAGACACTGCCGCTCTGCCAAAAGGCGCCGGTTTCCCTTCTCCCCAGCTTCCGCGGCCGTTTACGATTTCTCTCCGCCATTCAATAAAAGCAACCAACTCCCGTAGAAACTGAGGCGTGGCGGGCAATTCAAAACGCAGTGCAACCCGGATTACAGGCCTCTTTGCGCGGACCGGGGCGCGTCCCAACCTGCGAGAGCGGATGCCTACAACCGAACGGAAATTTTCCGCCTTCCTGGCCGCGTCTAGTCCGAAATTGGCTCCCCTTGTTCAGTGGTAATGACTCCCGGTTGGATCTACAATTGCAGGCCGGGAGTTGCTGCCATTGAACGCCGTGAGCGTCAAAGAGCGAGATCGCGCCGCCACAGCCTCGATCTACCCATCCGTCTTGCCGGGGACATCGCAGCAACCACTACTCTAATCTGCAAGTAATAATTTTTCCTCCCCGGCTGGAAGCCAGGTAAAGGGCTAGCCCTGGGGACGGGAGGTCGTATCCTGCTCCGAAGCGTCAGGTAATGGGAGCCTTTATTGATGAAGGTCGGGGCTCGCTGTTTAAATTAAAATTGAAATATAATTACCATTATTGTTTGTGGCATCCTGGTTGGAGGGAGGGGCGGGATGAGCGTGAATCTGGACGATTCGGAAAGAGCATTGAATTGCTAAGATTTATCTTCCAATAGATCTGCCATTAAACGACGAATTGACTTTTTTCTCTCTCTTCTCCTCCTCCCCTGCCCTTTTTAAGGCACGTCGAATAATGTAGGTGCCAATTTATGGGTCATGCATGCCCCATACTTCGAGGAAAAGATGAACCTGGCAGAAGGGGGGGAAGGCATAGGGTTTCTTGGACTCAACTAAAGATCATCTTCTGGCACTCTACCTTTCAGGGCTACCGGTATTAATATCATTTTTGTACCGTCTGACTGAAAGATAAATTTCTTTTAAATGTATATCTTATCCGTATTCCCACGCTCCATAATTTATAACAGTAAGTGTGAGGGATGCACACAATTACGCAGAATAAACCTGATCAGGGAATATGTAGACAGACACATTCTTTGTTCAATTTACGATTTCTAAGTTTTGAAATTCTAGTTACGGTACATTTTAAAAACCTGGTTATTTTCTAACTTGAACTATTGGCTAACAAAAGTTGATGAACTATGTATATGAAATCGTTTGATAACTGTATGTCTCTGTGTACATAACTAGGTGTATGCTTACATACACGTAAACGTACACATACACACAGAGAGATAATTGTCGAGGATAGTGGTGGCTAAAGGGTTATTATAGTATTATAGTACAGATTCTAGCCATGTTCCTAAAAGGTGTTGTTACCGTTTTACGAGCGGAATTGAGGTGCGCAAAATATATCTATTCGTGAACGAAGTATAGAAAATTGGAAAAGAACCTACATTGCGGGAACATGGTTTAATTTAAAAATGTTGAAACAACATCTTGACCCAAGAAAGTAAACTGAATGTTTAAATGTTTCTAAAAGGTTGCATAAAGGCTAGGCAACCAGATTATTTGCCCGCCGATTGCGCTTCTGAGAGAAGTGGTAAGAGTTTGAGAAAGATGGCACGGTGTCTCTTCCGTAGAAGTTTTAATCAATGTGAAAGCTCCTAATTATGCTCTAAAATATCGCTAATTTAATAAGGATAATCAAGTCGCCGTGAAAAGTGCTAGGAAACGCTTGCTACTTGATGCTTAGCCTTCTGAATTGCTGGCATCGCTGCTCTTTCAGCTAAGGCACATCCGTCAACGCTGTTTATAAATCAGACCAATCGATTCAATTAAAGCAGTTGCAAATCGAATGCGAGCCCGGCCGGGATTCTCTCGCTGGAGGGCAGGAGAGGGAGGCTATCCAGCCAACTGGCTTGCGGAGGCAGGAGCGGGGAGACAGCGGGGAGACAGCGCTGGAAGGCGCCGGCAACTCGCGCGGGGCGGAAAGAGCCCCGGAGCCTCTCACTCACCCGTGAAGCGGTCCTTGGTGTAGCGCCTGTTGCTCTCCATCCAGGGGAAGGTCAGCCCCGTCAGGTTGTTCACGGTGGGCACGGCAGTGGGGAGTGGCTGGGGGACGCCGCCGGCCATGGGTCTGTGTGCCGGCACTCGGATCACGCCCCCGGCCGCGGTGAGGTTATTTCCGTTCATGGCCCCGACGTTGAGGTTGTAGGAGCCCGCCAGCGAAGCCATGCTGCAGGCGCCGCCGTTGCTGTAGCCCCCGGCGGAGGAGGACCCTCCACCGCCGGGGGCCGAGCCGTAGTGACCGCCGCTCATGGGGTTGTAGGCACTGCTCACCACGCATCCTCCCAGGCCGTAGTCCGCCGCGTCCTGCAGCCGAGCGTTGGAGATCATGCAGCTGCCTTGGTCCGGGTTGTTCAGGATCTGGTCGATTCCAAAGCTAATGGGCTCGGCGTGGCTCTGGTGGAGGTGGTGCGCCCCTAAGTGATCCATGCTGGGCCGAGAGCCACCCCAGAGAGGGTGACTTCCCCCCCTCCTCCGCCACCGCCACCTTCTCCTCCTCCTCCTCCTCCTCCGGATTCAGGGCTAGAGATTTTTAAAAAATACGCGCAGCTTTTCTGGTCTCGCTTCACTTGCTCCCGAAGAGGCAAAAAGACGGCCGGAAGCGGAGGAAGGAAAAACGGGGAGAGGAGGAGGAGGAGGAGAGAGGGTGGGGAGGGGAAACATGCGCGCCCGTGGGCTCCCTCTCTCGCCTCTTTCCGAGGGCATCAATCATGTTGGCCCAAAGCCTGGCGCTGCTAGGCCCTGCTCCCCCATTGGTGGAGCCCCGAGAAACGAGGAGGGAGAAAAAGAGACGGAGGCCAAGGAGCTTCTTTCCCCCCAGCAAAAATCTAACCGGGGAGCCCGGCAAATCAGCCGACCACGCGCGGAAAGGAAGGTCCGGGTGGGCAGCGAAACTTGCAGGGCGCTCTGCTCGAATTCTCCGCGGAAACTGTTGCCTCTGAAGCGTTTGCTCCGGTGTTTTGAACCTTTGAGCGCCACCACGTGTGTTCGGTCCTATGAAAAAACACACACACACACACACACAAAGAATTCTTTCGTTGTCGTCTTTGTATCTCCCCTCTTTACCTTTCCCCTTTCCTTTCCTTTTTGCGTTTCCACCCACACTGAATAGGGAGAATCCTGAAGTGTAAAAAGGCCATAATCACCGCCCCTGAACTTAATTTGGGCTAGAACCGCTTATCGTTCAGTGTCCTCAATACTGGGCAAGAGTAGCAGTGTGTATCCTCCGTGTGAGCCCTTCCAGTTACTGTTGACTCCTGGCTGCTGCCTAGACTAGTCCCTGCAGAATAGAGAACCGTCTTCTTTTAATTGATTGAGTCTTTCCGAAGCATATACAGTATTTTCGGGACAAATTTCTATAGAGATTGGTATGCTTTGAACATCTCCGCACTTTTTGCCCTCACCTCAGTCATCAAAGCCCCATTTTCAGTTAAAAGAAAAAGAGAAAAATACCCACTTCATATTTTAATCTTCGGAAGGGAGGAAATAGATATAAAAATATTAAGGATGGATGTAAGAAATTTCACAAAGTTGTGCTGACCATAAGAAGTACCATATTGAATGGTTTTTCTGTACAAAAATGAAACGAGCCACAAGATTATTATTGCGGTTTATAATCCCCATCTTCATCCGCAAGATTAATTGGGGGGGAGGGGGAGAGACAAAGAGAGGAGAGGAAAGCAAATTTGGTAGTGAACTCCTATTTACATAATCCTACCAATCTCTTTTAATCTGATTAAGAGAAGTTTGTGTGTCTACTCAGAGGCAGAGAGTATAAACTCTTCATTAATGACCTGTTTCAATTACCTAACCTAATAGTCACATACGACTATGTGTTAAGTGTGAAAGTAAAATTTCATCAAGAGTGAGGTGGTAGATCTCCAGAAGTTGGATGGTATGATCTCCAGACTTTACTCAGTTCTTGATTGTCTGTGGCTGGTTCTCTCTCTATATATAACAAGTGCCAAAAATGGGAAATCCAGAAAATCCTTTTGGTCTCCTTTGGAGTCAGAAAAATTGAGTCAGTCCCTGGACTTTGGGAGCTGGCTGCAGATCCAGGAATCCTCCCTTACCTTCACCCTTCCATTTTGCAAGCAACGTCAGCCCTCAGAGGCTCCCAGAGCGCCCTTTTCTCATTAGCTGCATGCAGTTCTATTAATAGACGGTGCTTTCCATGGAGAAGGATGTGAGTGAGCTCTGGACTCCCATCCTGAAGAATGGTTTGTATGGGGAGGCCAGACTTCTGCAGCTCTTGAAAGGAGCAGAAGATGCTCATGGGAAAAGGGTGAAAACTAGAAATGAAAGCAGATGGGAGAAGGAGCTGGGCCTTAGTATTCACTTTCCTAGTTGTCTCACTACAGTCAATGTGCAGTTTCTTTCAGGATGTGGTCAATTGTGCTGGAGGCAGAAAAGACCTAATAAAGCCGAAGGCAAATAAAGTCCCTTGGTACAAATTACTGATACAATAATTATCAAGGATTTTCTGGAAGTGTTTTCAATGCTTAAAGGTAAATTAGAGTCCTCATCACCCAGAGTTGTGAATATACACTGTTCCACGTGTTGCCCCTTCTACAATCAGTTGCTCATAAAATGTTCTTTAAGAAGCTGGTGGAAACAATTTGCATTTTACTTTTAATTTCTGATTAAAAGCATGTAAAATAGTACCCAGGAGGATCCTTTCCTTTAGCTCTGATGGAAATTTGGTCTATGTTCAACAGCTGCTATGGCTACCAGAAATCATTTGACACATTTGACTTTGGGACGTTCACACACACATTCGCACACATCAATTACCCTGACATTTTATGTAGATCGAATGATAGATTATCAAACAATTTCAAAATCAACAAATAGGTCCTTCCGTAAGTACAGTATTCACTCATGTTTGTTCAAGTTTCCCCCACCGGTTTCAACCACTTACGAACCTTTAAGTGAGTGAACACAAGCCAAAATTACTGACATTGTAATTTGAAGTGACAGAAGTATAATATTTGCTTTTAAAATGAAGGAGGGCAAAGTAGGTCTGTTTTATTTTCAAAATCAGTTGAGACATACACAGTATAGGCACTGAATCATTTTCTATAATTGGATGAGAAAAATCCTTTTTGGGTTTACTGATGTTCAGGGTTTACAGCACTTTACTTAGTTGGGCACATTACAGGGTGGAGGGGTTCGTTGCAACCATAACTCTCTTCCTGTGGCTATTTTATCACCTCTATTTTTACTTCTTTATATCTTAAGGTAGCAGCAGCTTCCTTTTGCATTTGTTTGGAATCACTTTCCCATAGGAAATTGGTGGCACGTTTTTGAAATCTATACATTGGTATGCAGTTTTGTGACATTAATTACTTGGTTTTGGGGGTAGGGAAACTAAGCAGGACAGAAAATTCAGTTAATTTGAATCAAAACATTTTTGACTACATCTTTCTCAATCCTATAGACCTGTGCCATGCCTGAATATTGTTTAGAATAACAATAGCAATAATTATTAATTAAAGCAAGTAAGATTTAACTGGATTGTCAAAGTAGCTTTAAAAAAATTCTAGTCAATCCAAAATTCTATATTCAGAGGCATCTGCAATTGCTGGAACATAATTGGCATCAAATTCCCAAGTGGAGTGGCTCAACTTTAGCACCGCTTCAATAAGAGCAGACCAGACGGAAGGAACAGATTTGACTTGAGCCCAAGAGATTCCTCCATCACTCACATGGGTTCATTAGTGCCTTTGTAGAACTGTACGTTTAAATTAAAAAGTATTTGTACAACGTGCCTTATTTAGTCTGGAGGAATTTTGACTATCTTTAACAGAGTTTAGACTAGGTTTGATATTGGCAGGACTGAGACTCAAATGTTTGACAAACTTCTCTTCCTTTCAATCCAACCAATTTTTAAAAGCAACTCATGCCTTCCTCTAAAATTATAATTATATTATCTTCATAATTATATGACTGTTTGTTATTTGTTTGTTATGGAAATCAAGGACAAAATTCACCATGAGTTTAATTCCAAATGTTTGTTCCAAAGTAAAATTGAATGCCTTTTTTGTGATATTAGTATAGTAGTAAAAAATGCAACTTTTCTTGCGAATATGGTTCTCATAAGAAGTCTCAGTATTATTCAGCAGGGTTACCAGTATCATTATGCTCTTCAATACTATTTTCTAGTAGCTCTCTGCTTTAAAAACTGTTCTTTTCTGCAGCAATGTTTAAAACAAGCCATAGATACTTCAACAATGAATACACACACCTGAATTAACTTTTAATTCTTTTCTTTCTTCCCCCCCCCCCCTTTTTTTTTGTAAACGATGTGTTCAGCATTAGTCACATAAATGGAGGAAGTTTCAGTTCAACACATCAACACATGAGGTTTTGTTTTGAGTGCACAGCATGCTTGCTCTCAGCTCCTTCCTTCTCCCCATCTTTCATGCCAAAGAACTTTTGGCTGCCTTAAAATTGACCAGATGCTGTGGTGGTCTCACGAAATTTCAGATAAAAACGATTTTATAAAACAGTGTTTTCCGTCTGCTAAGCTAGCATGTCAAGAAGTTTATGATGGAAAAGATTAAATTGCTTTAATACTCAGAATATTAGAGCGGCGCAAGCACAGCTTTTCTGATTTCTGGTGGGACTGAGGACAGAACAATGTTGTTTCTCTTCTGCAAAACGGTGTGTTGTTTGTGTGGGGGAGGAAGTATATGGTAAGTTTGAAAAGCAGAAAGTAAGCAGAAGATAATCTCAGCAACCAGGAGCAAGGTTGAGTGCCATGCTTCTGGCACTCAAATTATCCGCCATTATGCAATGCAGTTGTGCCTATATTTGATATACGTGTGTAAATAATCCCAGTATGATAGCATTTTCACCATTGCTGGGGAGATGCCCAGTTTACAAGGGCTGCTTTCATTCCATTTCTATTTCATCTTCAGTTATGAACCTAGAAGTGGTGAAAGTTGCTTGGTAAGAGTCTCCCACCTGGACTTCGGGTTTCAGAAGTCGGAAAAATGATGAGGTGAACTCTTTTATTTCTGAAGAATAGTTATAGTAGTTCATTTTTCAAACTATTTTGAAACCGGCTGGGGAGCACAGAAGGACGTAAATCCCTTGCAGCGAATCTTAATAATATTAAAAGAACGCATATTTATTCATTTTCTGCTGTGGAAACAACTTTTCCATGTTTCACTTGGTCAGAGCAGCCTGTCCAACAGCCACGAGTTCAAGGTACAGTCAGCGGGAGCCCAGATTTATAGTACTGTCAATTGTTCACCCAGTAAATGGGGAAGGCTCTTTCGAATTCGGTGGCATTTTGTTTTCATGTTCATTCTCATGTTCCTTGAACATGAGTCCAGGGTGGTGAAGTGTCATGCTGTTCCCCCGGATGATACTGCAAGTGGGAAAACTTCAGTGGTGTAATCCATTGCATACTGAAGACTGGT